AAGCCGCCCCACCTACACTCGGGCCATCGTCACGGAGGCAGGAGCCGCCGCAGTCGGGCCGTCGAGCCGCCGAACCGCCCAGCAGCCGAGCCGCCGAGCCGCCCAGCCGCCGAGCCGACCAGCAGCCGAGCCGCCCAGCAGCCGAGCCGCCGAGCCGCCGAGCCATCGTGCAGCCGAGCCGCCGAGCCGTCGTGCAGCCGAGCCGCCGAGCCAACGAGCCGCCCAGCCGCCGAGCCGCCCTATCGCCGAGCCGCCCGAGCAGCCCCGTCCGGTGAGCACAACGCCGCTGTCACTGCACTGCCCCTTCCCTACTGTTTGCACTGCTAGGCTACTGTTGTCATGGCTACCCCTAGTGTCCTCGCTTTTGACGCTGAGGGTCGAGCCATTGACTTTGACGTTTGGGTAGAGGCAGCTGTTCTTACAGTGCGATAGGGCAGACGGTCTCTCTCTCTTTGACCTCACCTCTGGCGCCTCTCCTGCCCCTGCTGTTAATGCTGACGCCACTGTTCGCTCCCAGTGGGCCACGCGCGACGCTGCTGCACGTCTTGCTGTGCGTCGCCACCTCCCTACCTCCGAGCGTGCGCACTTTAGTCAGTACAAGAGTGCTCAGACCCTGTACGACGCTGTAGTTGCACGCTACTCCTCCCCTGCCACTGCTGCACTGAGCCGTCTCATGCTACCGTACCTCTTCCCTGATCTTGCTGCCTTTCCCACAGTCGCTGACCTCATTACGCACCTCCGCACTAGTGACACTCGCTACCGCGCTGCGCTTCCTGCTGACTTCTGCGCCAAGAACCCCCCCCCCCCCCATGTACATCGCTCTCTACTACATAGTCACTCGCCTCCCTGACTCCCTTCGCGTAGTCAGGGACCACTTCCTTTCAGTCTGTCCCACCACTCTCACTGTTGACCTCCTCGAGAAGGCCCTCCTAGTGGTGGAGAAGAGCATAGTCGCTGTAGGGGCCTCTCGTGGTGACCCGCGCACACCCATCTTTGAGGGGTGATCCCCCTCCCCCCTTCTGCCCTCTGTTGCCGCTGCTGCTGCGGCCGACCTCCTTGGTCTTGAGTCGGTCGGTGCGGCGTCTGCCCCTAGCGGGAGACGCCGCTCTGGCAAGGGCAAGGGGGGCAGGGGCGCTGGAGGAGCGAGCGGGGGCGGTGGAGGTGGAGGTGGAGGCGGCGGGGGGAGTGGGGGTGGCGGTGGGAGTGGAGGTGGGGGTGGAGGTGTCGGTGGCGGCTATGGAGGCGGAGGCGGCGGTGGCGGTGGGAGCGGAGGTGGCGGAGGTGGCGGCGGTGGAGGAGGCGGCGGAGGCGGCGGTGGCGGCGGAGGCGGCGGAGGCGGCGGAGGTGGCGGTGGAGCTGGTCACGGGTCTACACAGAGGAGTGGCTCCAGTGGTGGTCCACGCCAGCAGCAGCAGCGCAGTCGTGAGACCCTGTCCCCTCAGCAGCTCCGTGAGTGGTACACTGCACGCCAGCGGGGTGGGGGTTTTGGTCCGTGCACCTACGTCCTGCGCACCGGCGACCATGCGGGTGAGCAGTGTGGGGGTGCGCACCCCACCCAGCGCTGCTTTGGCCGTCTGACGGACGCGTGGCGTCACCAGTTCCCTGAGGCTACAGAGATCCCTCGCTGGGGCAAGCTGTGTAGGGCGGGAGTTGCCATCTATGATCTTGATTTTGATGCTATTCTCTCTGCCATGTATGCTGTGACTATTAGTGATGAGGGTGACTGTTACCGGTGTTTCCCGCCCGATCTGGGCATTGAGACTACTGCTCTAGGTGCTTGTGACGCTGCTGCTCCAGGTGCTAGTGCGTCTGCGTCGTCGTGTACTGGTGAGTCTGCGCTCTCACTGCGTCGGCTTCGGCCTCCCTCACCTTCACCCTTGACTCTGGGGCTTCTTGCTCCTTCTTTCGGGACCGCACCACACTCACGCCGCTTAGTCGGCCGGTAGCGGTGTCTGTGGCTGACCCCTCCGGGGGTCCTGTCCTGTCTCACTTCTCCACAGTCCTCTCGTGTCCGGTGGCTCCCTCTGGCACCCTGTCTGGTCTCTACCTCCCCTCGTTCTCTACGAACTTGGTTAGTGGTGCTGACCTACAGGATGGGGGAGTACACCAGTTCACTCCTGCGCGTCAGCGGGTGACGCACTGCACAGAGGCTAGCACACGCCGACACTTGGCTACGTTTACACGTCAGCCGGGGTCGAGCCTGTACACCCTGACCACCGCGTCTCCTCCAAGAGCTGAGTCTGGTAGGGTAGCTGCGTCAGGTCAGGTGTTTGCTGCAGCGTCCAGGTCTGGTTCCGAGTCTGCCCCCTGTTCGTGTCGTCTCCTGTCTCACGAGACTCTCCTCTGGCACCACCGCCTTGGTCACCCCTCTCTGCTTCGTCTCAGAGGCATGGCCTCCCGTCTTCTTGTTTCTGGTCTCCCCCGGTCCCTCCCTCCCCTTCCTTAGGGGCGTGGCCCTACCCGTGTCCTCTGTGTTGAGGGCCGCCAGCGAGCTGCCCCTCACTCCTCCCAGTTTCCTCCGACAGAGGCCCCGCTGCAGACGCTTCACATGGACGTGTGGGGCCCAGCCCGCGTCCGTGGACAGGGTCACGAGCGCTACTTCCTGCTCGTTGTTGACGACTACTCGCGTTACACCGCGGTCTTCCCCTTGCGCATCAAGGGTGATGTCACTGGATTCGCGCAGCTCGTCTCCAGCTCAGGCTGAGCTTTGGCTCGGACTTTCCTGTTCTGCGTCTGCACTCGGATAGAGGCGGAGAGTTTCCTCTGGCCTTCTGAGAGCCTACTGTCGCGCACGAGGCATCTGTCAGACCTTCACGCTTCCGGACTCTCCGCAGCAAAATGGGATCGCTAAGCGCCGCATTGGCATGGTCATGGACGTCGCTCGTACGTCTATGATGCATGTGGCTGCCCCCCATTTTCTGTGGCCGTTTGCGGTGAGGTACGCGGCGCATTAGATCAACCTTCACCCGAGGGTCTCCAGGCCGGAGACCTCCCCAGCCTTGCTGTGGACGGGGAAGGTTGGCGATGCGTCGGCGTTCCGGGTCTGGGGATCTTGGGCGTTTGTCCGCGACTTGTCTGCGGACAAGCTGTCCCCTCGTGCTGCTCCTTGCGTCTTCCTGGGGTTCCCCCTTGACGCGCCTGGGTGGCAGTTTTACCACCCCGCCTCTCGCCGTGATCTGTCCTCCCAGGACGTCACGTTTGACGAGTCGGTCCCCTACTACCGCCTCTTCCCCTACCGCACTCCGTCCCTCCCCTCCCCCCCGCTCTTCCTTGTACCAGGTCCCCCCCCGGTAGAACCCCTCCCTCCTCAGGGTCCTGCCTCTTCAAGTGTGTCCCAGGTAGACGCAGTCGAGCCTGTCGAGGTTACTGGTGACTCTGGTGCTGCTGAGGGTGCTGAGCCTGGGGGTGCTGAGACTGGGGGTGCTGAGCCTGGGAGTGCTGAGCCTGGGGGTGCTGTGCCTGGGGGTGCTGAGCCTGCGAGTGCTGAGCCTAGGGGTGCTGTGCCTGGGGGTGCTGAGCCTGGGGGTGCTGAGCCTGGGGGTGCTGCGTCTGGGGGTGCTGAGCCTGGGGGTGCTGAGCCTGGGGGTGCTGTGCTTGGGGGTGCTGCGCCTGGGGGTGCTTTGCCTGGGAGTGCTACACCTGGGGGTGCTGAGATTGGGGGTGCTGAGCTTGGAGGTGCTACGCCTGGAGGTTCTCCGGGTGCTTCGTCTCTGCGGGAACCACTCTCTCCACAGGAGCTGCGCGAGTGGTTTGCCCGGCGCTGGAGCCCTGCTGCTGGAGCTGTAGTTTCTTCGGCTTCTGAGGGTGTTGTTGCCTCGGGTCCCGGAGGTGCTCGTACTGGGAGTACTGGAGCTGCTGTGCCTGCGAATTCGACTGGAGCTGGTGCTGCTGAGGGTGTTGGCGTTGAGACTACTGCTGGCGGTCCTGCTGGGGGTACTACTGGTGCTGCTGGGGATTCTGGAGCTGCTAGAGGTGCTGCTGGAGCGGGTGCTCCTGCTGGGGGTACTGGTGCTGTCCCTGCTATGTCCGGAGTCGCCGCGCGGCCTCGACCGTACTTCGTTCCACTCCTGCAGCAGGTTCTTGGTCTTCCGCCTTCTACTGGTCCTCCTCCTTCTTTAGAGTGTCCACAGCCTTTCCCCTCACAGTTACCGTTGCAGCCTACCTCCCCTTTGCCTGCTCCTTCTCCCTACACTGGTCCTACTGGAGGTCTTGCTGAGCGTCGTGAGCCTGCGTCTCGCCCTGCGTCGCCTGTCCATGCTGCTCGCACTAGTGGTTGTGGTTCGCGTCAGCGTCCTCCTCCTGTTCCTGGCACGCACAGGATGTCTCTGCGTCCGTCCACTGCTCCTCTGCGTGCCCCTTTGCCTTCTCCTCCTGAGTCCTCTCTTCCTTCTCTTGCCGTCCCGGAGTCGGACTCTCTTCGTGCTGCCAGTCCTACTGTCACGCGTCTCCTTGCTACTGTCGTCACTGACCCTTCTTTCGAGTCCACTGCTGCGTCTGCCCTAGTTGCTGAGCTCGTCGACTTTGCTGCTTGCTCTCGCCTAGACTACTCTTCTAGTCTTGTCGCTGAGTCTGAGTCTGTCTGTCCTCCATCCGTCGGGGGTGAGTGTGCCCTTGGCACGGACGCTCTTGAGGACAGGCAGGAGGAGTTCCAGTGTCTAGCAGCTGCTTCACCTCATCTCGTGTCCGTACTGCTTACCCCTGAGGCAGACCCGGATGCACTTGACATCCCGACTCCGCGCTCTTACGCGGAGGCGATAGAGGGTCCCTACTCCTCCCAGTGGCAGGCAGCTATGGATGCAAAGATGGCTTCCTGGAAGTCCACAGGCACCTACGTTGACGAGATTCCCCCGCCTGGGGCGAACATCGTCAGTGGCATGTGGATTTTCAGGGTGAAGCAGCCGCCGGGTTCTCCGCCTGTCTTCAAGGCGCGTTACGTGGCTCGTGGCTTCAGTTAGCGGCAGAGAGTTGACTACTTTCATACCTTCTCTCCCACCCCGAAGATGACTACTCTTCGGGTGCTGCTGCACATAGCCGCTCAGCGCGACTACGAGCTTCACTCTCTTGACTTCAGCATGGCTTTCTTGCAAGGCAGCCTGGACGAGGAGATCTGGCTGCGCCGCCCACCTGGCTTCACTGGGACTTTTCCTCCTGGCACCCAGTGGAGCCTCCGGCGGCCAGTCTACGGTCTCCGCCAGGCGCCCCGTGAATGGCACGACACACTGAGGACTACACTTGCGGCTCTTGGGTTTGCTCCTTCTACTGCCGACCCGTCGTTGTTTCTGCGCACCGACACTTCTCTGCCGCCGTTCTACATCCTCGTGTACGTCGACGACTTGGTCTTTGCCACAGCTGACACTGCTAGACTCACCCACGTGAAGTCCGAGCTGCAGAAGAGACACACGTGCACAGACCTGGGTGAACTGCGCAGCTACCTTGGCTTGCAGATCACTCGGGACAGAGCACGCCGCACCATTACCCTGACTCAGTCACACATGGTGCAGCAGGTCCTTCAGCGCTTCGGCTTCACGTACTCCTCGCCTCAGGCCACTCCTCTGCCTACTCGCCACTCGCTCTCAGCTCTGCCTTCGAACGAGTCCGTAGAGTCGAGTGGCCCGTACCCAGAGCTTGTTGGCTGCCTCATGTACCTGATGACCTGTACTCGACCTGACCTTGCATACCCTCTTAGCATTCTTGCACGCTATGTTGCTCCTGAGAGACACAGACCGGAGCACATGGCCGCAGCGAAGAGGGTGTTGCGCTACTTGTGCAGTACGTCGGGCATGGGGCTTGTGCTTGGAGGGCGGAGTCCAGTGGTCCTCACTGGGCACGCAGACGCTTCTTGGGCTGACGACCAGGCTACGCAGCGGTCGTCACAAGGTTACACCTTCAGCCTTGGTTCCGGCTCTGTTTCGTGGCAGGCTACCCGCTCGTCTTCTGTTCTCGGCTCGAGTTGTGAGGCTGACATCTTCGCTAGCTCACCTACCTGCTTACTGACCTTGGCGAGGTGCCTCGTTCTCCTCTAGTGCTGTACGTAGACGACAAGGCCATGCTGGCCTTGTGTTGAGAGCAGAGACTGGAGCACAGAACGAAGCACATTGCTCTTCGCTACTTCCTTGCTCGTGAGCTGCAACAGCGTGGTCAGTTGCATCTTGCGTACGTGGCCTCTAAGGCCAACACTGCTGATATCTTCACGAAGGCACTTGCGCCTTGTGATCATCAGCGCTTGTGTACTCAGCTTGGTCTTGTGCCTGTCTTGCCTCACTTTCTCACCTCTTGACCTTGCTTGTACTGTTACATATATATATTTATAAACCTGCTCTTGCTTGTCTAGCCTTCTATATACATATGTACACTTGCATGTGAACTGGCCTTGTGGCCTTGAACTTGTGCTCGGAATGTGTGGTGACTTTGTGATCCACCCTGAGCTTGTTTTGCTTTGCTTGACTGGTCTTGTGACCCCTTGTTCTCCCCCACTTTGCCTATGGGGGTGTGTCAAATTATAATATTTTGTAGGCTGTAGTGGGGTAGCCTATATGGGGTACACAATTCTAGGGTTGCATACTTGTATCACTTTCATTCCTTAGTCAATCATTCCCGTTTCCTTTCACAGAGCACGTGGAAGGTCGAGAGTCATCCGAAGGTCAACAGTCAAAGACAGTCAACGGTCGTGACCCTTGACTGCCCAGTAATCGCACAAGGCAGTTACGAATTGCAACGTGGTAACTGTCTAGAATGGCAATAGTCGTGGTTACTTTACAATGCAATTCAGTTAATAAGGGAATGTACCCCTTAGAGTACATGGCTAGCTAGGATTGCAATTTATATTCTTGTATTCCTCTCTTATAATGATCTTGTTCTTTCAAAGCTTTTTCAACAAGGTCATCACAGAGACTTCACAACTCTCTTATATACTTAGCAGCTTTATCATATCCACTGCGATCCTTTAGTTGTAACATAATGGTATGAGATATGGCTCCAGAAGGAAAAGCCACTCAGGATTCTCCGGGCCCACCACCAGCAACGCCCACTTCACCATCATCGGTGACCTCTGTCAGCACCGCTCTCGTTGAGCAGCTGGTCGCGCGCATCAACGCTCTTGAGAGCCATCAAGCGATGAGCGCTGATGGCTCAAGTTATGCACGTGGAGTTGCTGGACTTCCTCTCCCTGGAGAAGACCGCCGTGTGAACTCCGAGAGATCCTTCACGTTTGACAACCATCAAGCTTCAGCTCCTGCACAAGACAGTCAACAACGCACACACTCAGACACGATTGCAACAATACAGACAAAATTAGTTCTGACCTCGAAGCTGAAAACATCGGTTCCTTTCGACGGAAAGGAATTCTACACTTGGAGCTTCGAGTTTGAGCTCCTCACGACAACTGCGCAAATCTGGATGTACTATGACGGAAGCTTGCCGTTTCCAATGGAAGGCACCATTCAAGAGAAGAACCAGTATTACCACGAATCTGTTCTCGCGTACACCACTCTGCTTTGAAATCTCTCCCCCTCCGAGTAGCTTGGCATTTTCTCCTACAAGTCAGAGTGGGCGCCTGCGCAACTCATACATAGCAACAGATCCCGTTACAATGAGTCGCCTGCTCAGCCAGCTTACATTGGTCAAAATGCAACAAGGGGAGAAAGCGGGACCATATATCAACAGGTGCCGCAATCTGCGCGACCACATCAAGAAGTGCGGCGGATCCGTCCCAGGCGATATGTTCGTCTCGATGGTCCTCTCCGGCCTCGGACCCGACAGGCGTCAATGCCAATCCCTGCTCCACGCTAGAGCAAGCGTCTCCAAGTCGGCCATGTGTGCCACGCTTCTCTCCAAGCAAAAGGAGATCAACCTGTTCAACGAGGGAGAAATTAGTCTTCTATGCCGGAACAACTGAAGGGGAGCAGCACGGCAAGAAAGGAACTTTCTGCAAATACTGCAAGAAGCCCGGACACACAATCGATTGATGCTACAAGCGAAAGGGCGGTGACAAAAGACGCAATAATCCTGCCAGACAACAGGCCTCGGCACCCTCGGCTTCTCCTGCCACAATCTCGACCGTGTCGCCACCTTCGGTAGCAAGCTCTTCTCAAACTCCTGCACGCATCTCCAACAAAGACAAGGGCAAGGGAACGATCATGAGTTGCATGGCACGGCACCGCAGAGGCATTCGATACTATGACAACATCTCATACCCGCCTATCGCGCCCATCAACCCCATTGCACCTAGTCCAGAAAGTGATCCCACCATCCACGATTGGATGGACTGCCCAACCAACAGCCCACCGAACTTTGAGCTGCCTCCGCCGACACCAAAATCCCCTCCCAGCATTTCGGCGAACAGATACTTCGCTCTCTCGCCGTACACCGGTGACTTTGACCGCGTCATTACACCCAAAATCGCCAACATCGCGCGTCAGAGCCGCGAGAGCATCAGCACCTGGTACCTAGACAGCTGCCGCGGGCAACAGATGGTGGGATCACCAACGTTCATCAACAACTCCAAACGCATGCGACGACCATGCTAAATCACTGTTGCGAACAACAGCACACTTAAGGCATACGACATCGGTGAAGTTTACCTTGAAGCTGATGACACAAAGTTCACCATTCTTATCGGTGATGTTCTTGTCACCCCAAATCTACGGTACAACCTGCTCTCCTCGGCACAACTCATGCGGTGTGGAGTAGACATCCGCAGCAACTGTCAGGACAATGCCTTCGAGCTCTTCTACAACAATTCTTACATTAGCAAGGCGATTGACGATGACGGAGTGTTCGTACTGCAGTTTTCGGCTCAAGGCACCACTGGAGATTCCCACGGCACCCTGATGCTGAAAACAACTCCTTCGAAGCCGCCAACATGGCTGCATCCCACCGAAATGGACCTCGAGCGACCAGCTTCTGACGGTCTTCTTCGGCTTCGCACCGTTCCAACTACCTCGACCTCCAACCCCGCTGAGATCGGACATGCATCAATGGAAGCAGAAAGCGGAATGTCAGCACCTGCGGAACCAATCACCGAAGAAAGCGAAAAGGGGGAAACAGAATTAGGCAGTCTCGGCCCAGCAGTCGGCCCATTGGGGGAAATTTTAACGCCAGAAGAAGCAGATGCAAAAGGACGGGGCACTATCTCGGCATCCGAAGGCGCCGCCACTACTCCAACAGAGGCTGGCGCTGCCACCGGAGGCGGCTGGGGAGACAGAGGCGGCTAGGGAACTTCAACAAGCGAAGTAGGATGGGGGCCAACTGCCCCTACCTATCCCGAAGCTCTGGAACTCTCTCATGCAGATACCGCGGCGATCGATTCGTACTGGGCAACGCGTGGAACAAGCTGGGGCGGACCTCCTCTCCCGGATCAGTACGCTCCTGACACACCAGAACCAATGCAAGAAGAGTCAGAGGAAGAGGTAACTTATGAATTCTTCGAGGGAGCAGCAGAATTACCTGTCAGAATTATGCATATATGCTCTAGGCTGTAGTGGGGCAATCCTTATGGGGTACAACCCAAATTAGGTTTTGCCTATACAAACCTTGTATTGCTCTCTTTCTAGCCATTCTTTCCTTCACATTTCTGACATGGTTTCAGAGCAGGTTCCCTGATGGGAACGTTTATTTTAGGGCCCACCGCTATAACGTTTTTTTTTCTTGCCCTGCCCGAAGCGCGCCTCGCGCCCGCCTCACCTGCACCGTCGCGCGCCCTGCCCTAGTGCCGCCCGTCGCGGCCCTGACCTAGCCTCCCGCCGCGGCCCTGCCCTGTCGCCGCTCCGTCGCGGCCCTGTCCTTGCCGCCTCGTCGCGGCCCTGCCCTGCCGCCACCCGCGGCCCTGCCTTGCCGCCCGTCGCGGCCTGACCTAGCCGCCTGTCGCGGCCCTGTCTTGCCGCCCCTCGTCGCGGCCCTGACCTCGCCGCCCGTCGCGGCCTCTGTCCTGCCGCCACCCGTCGCGGCCCTGCCCTCAGCCGCTCATCGCGGCCCTGCTCTACCGCCGCCCAGTCGTGGCCCTGCCCTGCTGCCGCCCTGTCGCGGCCCTGCTCTGCCGCCGCCCCGTCGCAGCCCTGCCTTACAGCCGCCCCTGTCGCGGCCTTGACCTAACCGCCAGCTGCGGCCCTGCCCTGCACCCACCCCTGGTAAGCACCCGCGCCGCGCAGCTGAGCCGCGCCACCCAGCCGAGCCGCGCCGCCCAGCCGAGCCGCGCCGCCCTACCGAGCCATGCCGCCCTACTGAGTTGCACTGCCTTGCCCTTGCTGCTACTGCTGCTTCTGCTACTTCTACTACTACTGCTGCTACTGTAGCCATGGCTAGCCCTAATGTTCTTACCTTTGATGCTAAGGGTCGTGCGGTTGACTTCGACGTTTGGGTAGACGAGCTATAGCTCTTTCTTCAGTGCGACTCTAAGGACAGAGTCTCCCTTTTCGACCTCACGTACGGTGTCTCTCCTGCACCTACTGCCAATGCTGACAGTACGGTTCGCTCGCAGTGGACTACTCGTGACGCTATTGCTCGCCTTGCTGTTCGTAGTCACCTGCCGTCTGCTGAGCGCGCACACTTTGGCCAGTAAAAGACTGCTAAGTCTTTGTATGACGCTGTGGTAGCGCGCTACTCCTCCCCTTCGACTGATGTCCTCAGCTGCCTCATGCTGCCGTACTTGTTCCCTGACCTGGCCGCCTTTGCCACAGTTGCTGACCTCATTACTCACCTCCGCACTAGTGTCTTCCGCTACCGCGCTACGATTCCCACTAAGTTCTTTGCCAAGAACCCCCCCCCCTATGTACATCACCCTCTACTACCTAGTCACCCGTCTCCCTGACTCCCTTTCTTCAGTTAGGGACCACTTTCTCTCCCTTTGCCCCACCGAGATCACCATCAACCTGCTAGAGGAGCGCATCACTGCAGGTGAGAAGAGTATCGTTGCTGTAGGTGCTTCTCGCGGCGACCCTCGCACCCCTTTCTTTGAGGGGTGTTCCCCCGTCCCCCTTCTCCCCTCTGTTGCTTCTGTTGCTGCTGTCGACCTCGTTGGCACTGAGAAGGTCGGGGCTGCGTCTGCTCCTAGTGGGAGGCGTCGCAACGGCAAGGGCAAGGGGGGCAAGGGTGTTGGAGGGGACGGTGGGGGCGGCGGTGGAGGCGGTGGAGGAGGCAGAGGGGGTGGCGGTGGAGGTGGGGGTGGTGGCGGGAGTGGGGGCGTCGGTGGTGGTGGTGGGGGTGGTGGATGCAGTGGCAGCCGCGGTGGAGGTGGCGGCGGCGGTGGTGCTGGTCGGGGTGGAGCCGCGCAGCGTGGAGGCTTTGGCGGTAGCCAGCGCCAGCAGCAGCCGCATTCCCGTCAGACCCCGTCGCCCCAGCAGCTTCGTGAGTGGTACGCTGGGCGTGGGAGGTCTGGGGGTGCTGGTCCCTCTACTTACGTTCTTTGCACCGGCGGGCGCCGTGGGGAGACGTGTGGACTGCCCCACACTTCGCAGTGCTGCTCCGGTCGCCTGACTGAAGCCTGGCGCGCACACTTTCCTAACGCCACTGAGCTCCCTCGCTGGGGTGATCTGCTTAAGCAGAATGTTGCTATCTTTGATCTTGATTTCGATGCTATCCTTGCTGCCATGTATGCTGTGACTGATAGTGCTGAGGGTGACTGTTACCTGTCTGTTCCGCCCGACCCGGGCATTGAGGCTGCTGCTCTAGGTGCTAGTGAGTCTGCTGCTCCAGGTGCTAGTGAGTCTGCTGCTCCAGGTACTGGTGAGTTTGCTCTCTCTAGTACTGCACCTACTGAGGCCTTGCACACCTTCACACTTGACTCAGGTGCTTTGCGCTCCTTCTTTCGCGACAGCACCACACTCACGCCGCTCAGTCAGCCGGTTGCAGTCTCCCTGGCTGACCCCTCTAGGGGCCCAGTCCTTGCGCACTCTTCCACGGTTCTACCGTGTCCTGCGGCCCTGTCGGGCTTACTGTCAGGACTCCACCTCCCCTCGTTCTCTACAAACTTGGTGAGTGGAGCTGATGTCCAGGACGTGTGGTTTGACCAGTTCACCCATGGAGGTCAGCGTGTGACCCACTGTACTTGCTCTCGGACGGGCCGCCACCTGGCCACGTTCACCCGTCGGCCTGGGTCGAGCCTGTACACACTAACTACTGCGTCTCCTCCGGCTACTGCGTCTGGTCAGGTAGCCGCGTCTGGTCAGGTGTTAGCTGCCGTGTCCAGGTCTAGTCCGGCGTCTGCCCTGTGCTCGTGTCATCCTCTGTCACACGAGACTCTCCTTTGGCACCACCGCCTTGGTCACCCCTCCCTGCCTCGTCTTCGAGGTATGGCCTCTCGTACCCTTGTCTCTGGTCTCCCCCGGTCCCTCCCTCCCCTTCCTCCGGGGCCTGCCCCTACCTGTGTTCCCTGCATCGAGGGCAGGCAGCGCGCCGCTCCTCACTCCTCCGAGTTCCCTCCGACAGAGGCTCCCCTGCAGACTCTCCACATGCACGTGTGGGGCCCAGCCCGGGTCCGTGGACAGGGTCACGAGCGTTACTTCCTGCTGGTCGTTGAGGACTACTCGCGTTACACCACAGTCTTCCCCTTGCGCCGCAAGGGTGAGGTCACTGAGGTGTTGATCAACTGGATCCGCGCTGGCCGTCGCCAGCTCAGCGAGAGTTTCGGCTCGGACCTTCCTGTTCTGCGTCTGCACTCTGACAGAGGTGGTGAGTTTTCCTCCGACCTTCTGAGGACTTTCTATCGTACGGAGGGCATTCGCCAGACGTTCATGCTTCCGGCCTCCCCACAGCAAAATGGGATTGCTGAGCGTCGCATTGGCATGGTCATGGACGTCGCTCGTACGTCCATGATCCATGCGGCTGCTCCCCATTTTCTGTGGCCATTCGCGGTTCAGTAAGCTGCGCATCAGCTCAACCTTTAGCCTCGTATCTCCTTGCCGGAGAAAACACCTACTCTGCGGTGGACGAGGAAGGTTGGCGATGCGTCTGTGTTTCGTGTCTGGGGATCTCGAGCCTTTGTCCGCAATTCTTCCGCGGACAAGCTGTCCTCCCGTGCTGTTCCCTGCGTCTTCCTTGGCTTCCCCCCTGATGTGCCTGGGTGGCAGTTTTACCACCCCACCTCGCGTCGTGTTCTGTCCTCTCAGGACGTCACGTTTGACGAGCCGGTATCTTACTACCGTCTCTTTCCCTACCACACTGCCTCTCTCCCCCCCCCGCCGCTCTTTCTAGCACCAGGTACTCCTCCGGTAGATCCCCTCCCCCTTCAGGGTCCTGCCCCCCTAGGTGTGTCCCAGGTAGACCCTGTTGAGCCTGTTGAGGTAGCTGTCGACTCAGGTGCTGCTAGGGGTGCTGAGCCTGCGGGTGCGGGGCCTGGGGGTGCTGATCCTGGGGTTGCTGAGTCTGAGGGTGCGGAGCCTGGGGGTGCTGAGCTTGAGCGTGTGGAGCCTGGGGGTCCTGCGTCTGGGGGTGTTGAACCTGGGGGTGCTGAGCCTAATCATGCTGAGTTTGGAGGTCCTTCGGGTGTCTTGTCACGGCGTGAGTCCCTCTCTCCACAGCAGCTGCGCGAGTGGTACACTCGGCGCTGTCGCCGTACTACTGGAGGTTCTGCTGGTGCTGGAGTTGCTGGATGTGCTGGAGCTGCTAGTCCCTGAGGTGCTCGTACTGGAGGTACTGGAGCTGCTGTAGTTGGAGCTGCTGGAGGTACTGCTGGTGCTGGAGCTGCTGGAGGTGTTGGTGCCGCTGGTCCCGGAGGTGCTCGTACTGGAGGTACTAGAGTTGCTAGAGTTGGAGCTGCTGGAGGTACTCGTGGTGCTGGAGGTGCTGGAGCTGCTGGTCTTGGAGGTGCTCGTACTGGAGGTATTGGAGCTGGTGGTGCTGCAGGAGTTCGAGCTGTTGCTACTGGAGGTGCTGCCGGTGCTGGAGCTGGTGGTGCTGAGGGAGTTGGAGCTGGAGATCCTGGCGCTGGGGGTACTGGTGCTGTCTCTGCTGGTTCAAGAGGCGCTGCGCGGCCGCGGCCGTACTTCGTTCCCCTCCTTCAGTAGGTTCTTGGTCTCCCGCCTTCTCCTGGTCCTACTCCTCCGTTCCTGTGTCCACAGCCTGTCCAGTCGCAGTCGCAGTTACAGCCAGCCTCTCCGCTGCCTGGTCCTTCTCCTTACTCTGGGCCGACTAGGGGTCTTACGGAGCGTTGTGAGCCTGAGTCTCGTCCTGTGTCACCTGAGTCTCGTCCTGCCTCGCTTGAGTCTCGTCCTGCGTCGCCTGTTCGCACTGTTTGCACTGGTCGTCGTGTTCCGGGCCAGCGTCCTCCTGCTGTCCCAGGCACGCACCAGGAGCTGGAGCTGCTGGAGGTCCTGCTGGTGCTAGAGCCGCCGGAGGTGCTCGTACAGGAGATACTGGAGCTACTAGAGCTGGTGGTGCTGCAGGAGTTGGAGCTGGCGGTGCTGGAGCTGTTGCTGCTAGAGCTGGAGCTGCTGGAGGTGCTCGAGCTGGTGGTGCTGCGGGAGTTGGAGTTGGAGACTCTGGAGCTGGGGGTACTGGTGCTGTCTCTGCTGGTTCTGGTAGCACTGCGCGGGCCGCGGCCGTACTTCGTTCCACTCCTTTAGCAAGTTCTTGGCCTCCCGCCTTCTACTGGTCCCACTCGTCCCTTACTGTGTCCGCAGCCTGCCCCGTCGCAGTCGCAGCTACGACCAGCCTCTCCACTGCCTGGTCCTTCTCCTTACTCTGGGCCGACTAGAGGTCTTATGGAGCGTCGTGAGCCTGAGTCTCGTCCAGCGCCGCCTGAGTCTCGTCCTTCGTCGTCTGAGTCTCGTCGTGTTCGCGCTGTTCGCACTGGTCATCGTGCTCCGCGTCAGCGTCCTCCTACTGTCCCAGGCACACACCAGATGGCAATTTGTCCTTCCACTGCTCCACAGCGTGACCCTCTGCTGTCTCCTCCTGAGTCCTCTCTTCCTGACGTCCCTGACCCGCCGTCTGACCTTGCTCGTGCGTCCAGTCCTACTGTCACACGTCTTATAGCTACTGCTGTCACTTACCCTTCCTTTGAGTCTACTGATGCATCTGCCCTAGTTGCTGAGCTTGTCAACTTAGCTGCCGCCTGTCGTCTAGACTACGCCGCTAGCCTTGTTGCTGAGTCTGAGTCTGTCTGTCCTCCGTCCGTCGGGGGTGAGTGTGCTCTTGGCATGGACGTCCTTGAGGACAGGCAGGAGGACTTTGAGTGCTTTGCCGCAGCTTTACCTCATCTCGTGTCCATGCTCATTGCACCTGAGGGAGACCCGGATGCACCAGACAGCCCGACCCCGCGCTCTTACGCAGAGGCAATAGAGGTTCCGTACTCCTCCCAGTGGCAGACAGTCATGGACACAGATATGGCTTCGTGGAAGTCCACAGGCACCTACGTCGACGAGGTTCCCCCACCTAGGGCGAACATCGTCAGTGGCATATGGATTTTCAGGGTGAAGCGGCCGCCGGGTTCTCTGTCTGTCTTCAAGGCGCGTTACGTTGCACGAGGCTTTAGTCAGCGACAAGGAGTTGACTTCTTCGAGACCTTCTCCCCTACCCCGAAGATGACCAATCTGTCAACATATATTTTATATGTGCTGTTAAGTTTAGCCTAGGTGTTACATTCACAATTGATAGGGTTTGCATATATCTCCTTGTACCTTGTTTCCTTAGTCAATTTCTCACGCACCATCCTCATGCCCTGAAACCGTTGTCCCGCCAGTTCGAACTCTCCCCACACCTTGAAACCCGCGTTCCCACCGGTTAGAACGCGACCTTACCCGTCGCCCGCCACCTTACCCGCCACCCCAGCCGTTAGCACCCTCCCCACGCCCTGAAACCGCCGCCTCAGCAGTTATCACCCTCCCCATGACCTAAAACCGCCGCCCCACCTGGTACCCGCCACCCCACCTGTCGCCCTACTCGCAGCCCCACCTGGAAAGCCTAAACCGCCGCCCTACCTATCACCTGTACCCTGGAATCGCACTCAACCGCATACAACCGCACAGCACCGCACTCAACCGCATTCAACCGCACTCAACCGCATCCAACCACACATAACCGCACTCAACTGTTCTAGACCGCACCCGTTAGTACCCCTACGCGCTAGTTGTTCCTACGACAATGTCTACCTCGCGAGTTCTCACGTTTTATCCGGAGGGCCGCGCGATCGATTTCCCTGGATGGCTTCGCAAGCTTAAGCTGTACCTAGGGTCAAGGATCGAGAACGACGTGCGCCTGCTGGAGCACGCCACCGGCAAGCTCGTTGCCCCAAAGGATCCCGACCCCCTAGGTGCTTCCCCGTCGGAGGTGGATGAGGCTCGCTTTGAGAAGGCGTAGTTGGCGGCCAGCCGCTGGGCGGCGCGGGACGACGCTACCGTGCTCGCCATCACCGACCTCCTGCCACTATCAGAGCAGCATCACTTCGAACAGGAGGTGATGGCCAACGCGGTAGTCAAACGGTACTCCACCCTGACCATTGCGTCCCTTGGCCGTCTTGTGCTGCCTTTCCCTTTCCCCGACCTCCCCTCGTTTCCGCGTGTTGCTGACCTCATTCTGCACTTGCGCTCACTTGATGCTCAGCTCCGCTCTGCTGCCCCTGGCGCCGACCTGCTTGCCACCAACCCCCCCGCGATGTGGATGACATTGTACCTCCTTTCCACCCGCCTCCCTGACCGCTTTGCCACTGCCCGTGACCACTTCCTCACTGTCAACCCCATGTCCCTCACTATTGACCTCTTTGAGAAGAGGCTCACTACTGTTGAGGACCTTGCCGGCTCCCTTGCTGCTGCCTCTAGTGCCGTCCTCCCCCCCATCTTCGAGGGGTGTGCCCCTTCGTTCCTTGCCTCGTCTGTTGACTCGGCCTCTGTTGCCACTGCATCCGAGGTTGCAGCTGTTGCCTTTGGCAAAAAAGGGGGCAAGAAGAGCGGTAAGAAGGGAGGAGGTGGTGACAGTGGTGGGGGTGGCGGAGGGGGCAGCGGTGGAGGTGGTGGAGGGGGCGGTGGTGGAGGTGGTGGAGGGGGCGGTGGTGGGGGGGGCGGCGGGAGTGGTGGTGGCGGCAGCGGTGGGGGTGGGAGTGGTGGCAGAGGTGGAGGTGGAGGCAGTGGAGGAGGTAGTGGGGCGTCCCAGCAGCAGCAGCCCCAGCAGCAGTAGCACCAGCAGCAGTAGCGGTAGCAGCAGTTCCAGGGCCAGCGCCAGCAGACCCAGCAGCAGCAGTGGGGGCCGCCTGGACCAGGGAGCTCTGTCAGCAGCAGCGGCCCACCCAGCTGGACGTCGCGTGGCCCGGTCCAGCACCCCCCCCTGCCAATACTGGGTGCAGACTGGGCCGCGCAGAGACGGCATCTGTGGCCGCCTCCACCCTGTGGGTCAGTGCTTTGCGCAGCTTACTGACCGCTACCGCGCCCAGTTTGGCCCCACCCGCTCTGCCCCAGACTGGGCCTCACTGATCCGCACAGTTAGCACGCAGTTGTATCGCATGTCTGCCGCAGAGTTAGCCGCAGAGCTAGATAATGTTGTACAATCTATTTCTGTGATGTATGCTGATGACTCTAGTGTTGATCGTTCTGGCTATTACTCTTGTTTGTCTAGCTTAGGTGCTGTAGAGGTTGCTAGTGCTGTACCAGCTAGAGTAGCTTGCACATGTTTGACCACCCAGTCTGCGTCCCTTTCGTTCACGCTCGACTCAGGGGCGTCCAGCTGTCGTCATCGCCCGGATATAAGATAGTGTCGAATTGAAGACATGGGGTGTCGTTAAAACGGGTGTTTCTTATAGATGGGTGTTCCTGATTATAAGACAACTGTCGGTGTGTACGAGTTAGGCCACTATAGGGATTAGGGGCAATCTTATGACTAGGGGGCATCTTCTAAACGGTTTTTTGTCTATTTATAAGAATTATAAGACACCCTCAACCGTCCCAATTACAAGACACAGTAAGCTTTTTTTCTAATGTATAAGATAAGACATATATGTCTTCTTTCCGGGCGATGACGGTGTTTCTTTCGTGACCACACAGACCTCACACCGCTACGCACCCCAGTCACTGTCGCCTTAGCTGACCCCTCAGTGGGAGCAGTGGTTGCCCACAGCACCACAACTCTCCCGTGTCCGGCGGCTCCCTCTGGGGTCCTTACAAATGACTACACCCCCTCGTTCTCCAGGAACTTGGTGGGTGTCAGCCTCCTCCACGACCTCGGAGTAGTCACCACTTTTTCTTTAGACGAGTCCGTTGCCTCCTGCACAGACGGTGTCACTGGGGCTCCTCTGGCTACTCTCCCCAGGGAGCCGGGCTCTGGTCATTACTTACTACACACTGGGTCCCGCCGCACTGGGTCAGGTTAGGTTAGGTTAGGTCAGGTCAGGTAGCTGCTGTGTCGTGCGACTGTCGGTCTCTCACTCACCCGTCGGTCCTCTGGCACCACCCACGTCTCAGTAGGATGGCACGTCACCGTCTGGTCTCAGGTCTCCCAGCGTCGCTTGCACCGCTTCCCCGCTCGCCTGCGCCGCTGTGCACTCTTTGCGTCGAGGGTCGGCAGCACGCTGCCCCTCACTCCTCCTCGTCCCCCCCCACCACGGCTCCCTTCCAGACCCGGCACTTGGACGTCTGGGGCCCCTCCCCGGTCCTTGGCCCATGTCAGGAGCGCTACTTCTTGATTGTGGTGGACGACTACTCCCGCTACACCACGGTTTTCCCCTTGCGACGGAAGGCCGACGTGCCCACCGTTCTCGAGCTTTGGCTACTAGCGAGTGGTGGCGCCCAGGGCCTTTGTGGGCTCCGCCTACACTCGGACCATGATGGTGAGTTTTCCTCCACTCGCCTGGAGACGTTCAGTCAGGGTCGGGGGATCATCCAGTCTTACACGCTACCAGCCTCGCCGCAGCAGAACGGGGTAGCCAAGCGACGCATCGGCCTGGTCATGGAGGTTGCTCGGACCTCCATGTGCCATGCCGGTGCCCCCCAGTTCTTGTGGCCTCAAGCAGTCCGCTACACCGCGCACCAGCTGAACCTGTGGCCCAGTGACGCACGGCCACGGGTGACGCCGGTCTCCCTTTGGACAGGTTCTCCGGGCGTAGCAGCTGACTTCCGTGTCTGGGGTTCTCTAGCTCACGTTCGCGCCCCTGGCACGAACAAGTTGTCTCCGCGCACTCGTGCCTGCGTCTTTCTTGGTTTCCCTTTGGACGCCTCCGGCTGGGTGTTCTACGACCCGGTCACCTACGAGTTCCTCGCTTATCGGGACGTCACATTTGACGAGTCTGTCTGTTACTACAGGAGTTGTCCCCACCGAGGTACTGAGGCCTTTTCCCTCCCGCTGTTCCTCACCCTTGAGCCCCCCACAGTCGCCCTGGTAGCCCCCCCACCTTCGCGTCTTGCCCCATCAGGTGTGTCGCACGTCACTCCGCAGTCGTCCCCCTCGCAGCGTCCAGCCCCTGTCGTGTCTGAGGGTGCGGGAGGTGCAGTTTTGGAGGGTGAGGGTACTGGGGCTGCAGGAGCTGGTGGTGTCGGCTCTGGGGCTGCAGGGGTTGTGGGCGTGGAGGCCACTCCCGTGGAGGACACTGCAGCCACGACTCGGCGACCTCGCCTTGCGTCACCCCCTGGCTTCCCGTCCGTCCCGAGTTCCCTTCTCGTTCTTCTTTGCGGTTGGTTGCTGCTAAGCCTGGGGGTGTTCCTGCGGGAGGTACTAGCGGCCCCGGGGGTGTTAGTGGTGGAGGTGCTGGTTCTGGGGGTGCTGGAGCTGGAGGCATTGGCACTCTGGCGCCCACACCGTGCGATGTACGTTTTCAGACCTGTGAACAGCGTATCCTCCGGTTGGAGAGGGAGGAGCGTGAGCGTTTTGAGAGGGCACAGCAGTAGCAGCAGCAGCAGCAGTAGCAGCAGCAGCAGTAGTAGCACCCGCAGCAGCAACAGCAGCAGCAGTAGGAGCAGGAGTAGTCTCAGTCGCAGCAGCAGGAGAGAGAAGAGGAGTCACATCAGCAGCAAGTGCCGTTGCAGCCGCAGCATGAGAGAGTAGAGGAGTCACGAGTGCAGCAGCGGGTGCAGTTGCAGTCGCAGCAGGAGAGAGTAGAGGAGGAGTCACGACCGCACCAGGAGAGGGTAGAGAAGGAGTCCCGCCCGTAGCAGCAGGTGCAGTTACAGACACGGCAGGAGAGAGTAGAGGAGTAACAGCCACAGCAGGAGAGGGCAGAGGAGGAGCCACAGGAGCAGCAGGAGGGGCATGTACCGTCGCAGCAGACGCCAGAGGAGGCAGAGCGGCAGCGACTGCGACTACACAACCTCCCCATCCCAGCACCTACACGCTTTGTTCGTGGTCCCCTACCGTCCCCTCCTGTTCCCCCTGTTGAGTCCCTTTCCTCGTCCCAGTGGACTCGTCGTTCTCCCCTCAGTCGTGCTGTGTCACCAGAGCGTCGTCGGTCCCGTTACCGTGCAGACGGTCCGTTCCACCTTGTTCTTCGCTCTCGTGTTCCACCTCCTCCTGTCCTTCCACAGCCCCCTAAGTCGTCCCTCACTGGGCTTCACGACCCGTTGTCCGACTACCTCCGTGCCTCCCGTCCTGTCGTCTCCCGTGTTTTGTCTGCGTTGGTCACTCACCCGACTGCACCTCTGTTGTCTGTCTCGGCGCTTGTTACCACTGTCGCTGGCTTTGCCTCTTCCCACCGACTTGACTATGCCACTCACTTGGTGAGTGGCCCTGCTCGTTCTCCGTCCTCTGGGGGTGCTCTTGTTTTTCTCCTGGAGGTCCTCGAGGATAGGCAGTTCGAGCTTGGTTTCCTGGCGGCCGCTGTTCCTCATCTCTGCGCCTTGCTGCTTGCCCCTGAGAGGGATCCAGACGCCCTTGACATCCCGATCCCTCGCACTCACGCCTAGGTGGTTTCGGGACCCTGGGCTTTGTACTGGATAGCAGCTGAGGAGGCAGAGATGGCATCTTATAGGTCCACAGGCACCTATGTCGACGCAGTCCCACCACCTGGGACGAACGTCGTCAGTGGCCGATGGCTCTACAAGGTGAAGCGGCCGCCTGGATCACCACCTGTGTTCAAGGCGCGCAATGTGGCGAGAGGCTTCAGTCAGGGAGAGGGGGTAGACTTCTTCCAGACCTTCGCTCCCACCCCAAAGATGAGTACTCTTCGGGTGTTGCTACATATTGCAGCCCAGCGCGACTACGAGTTGCACTCCTTGGACTTCTCCACCGCGTTCCTTCAGGGGAGCCTGCACGAGCAGATCTGGCTGCGTCGCCCGCCTGGCTTCACTGGCTCTTTCCCACCTGGGACCCAGTGGCAGCTGCGTCAACCAGTCTACGGCCTGCGTCAGGCTCCACGTGAGTGGCACGACACACTTTGCTCAACCCTTGCAGCGCTTGACTTCTTTCCGTCGTCTGCTGACCCGTCACTGTTCGTTCGCCGTGGCTCGACCCCGTACTTTGTCTTGGTCTACGTCGACGACCTGGTGTTCGCCACTCTCGACCGACGCGCGCTGGCCTCCGTGAAGGAGGAACTGCAGAGGAGACACACTTGCACTGACCTTGGTGAGCTGCAGCACTACCTTGGCCTGCAGATCACCAGGGACAGGGCAACTCGCACCATTACGCTGACTCAGTCGCATATGGTCGAGCAGATCCTCACGCGGTTTCGCTTCCCATTCTCCAAGGTACAGCTCACCCCTCTTGGTGTGGATCATGGGCTCACGGCTCCACCTTCAGACGAGCCATTTGAGTCCAGCGGTCCATATCTTGAGCTGGTGGGTTGTCTCATATACCTGATGACCTGTACTCGCCCATACCTAGCTTACCCTCTTAGCGTCCTTGCGCGTTTGTTTGCACCTAGGAGACACTGTCCGTCTCACTGGTACGCTACTAAGAGGGTGGCGAAGTATGTGGCGAGTACATCAGGCATGGGACTTGTTCTTGGAGGGAAGCAGCCAGTTACACTTACAGGTTTCTTGGACTCGTCGTGGGCCGACGACGCGGAGACGCGTCGGTCTACACTGGGGTACTCATTTAGCTTCGGGACAGGTGCTGTTTCGTGGCGATCGACTCGGGCCTCGTCCGTCTCCGGTTCTAGCTGTGAGGCAGAGGTGTACGCTGCGGCCATGGTCGCTCAGGAGCTTCGCTAGCTGACTTTCCTCCTCACTGACCTTGGTGAGCGGCCCTCGCTCTCCCCC